CCTTTGTGGTTACTAGAGTAACTAGACAATAAACCATGTAAGTTGTGTGGTATATCAGGTAGTGCTAAGTACAGGGAGAAAAATAAAAGTGTCAAGGGGTATAGAAAGAGCAAGTGATAGAGTTACAAATTTTAGATTGGGTAGCCAGGGAAGGTTTCCATAGGAAGGTGACATTTGAAAAAAGATGAAGGAGCTAAGAGCAATAAGATGTGCAAAGGCCCTGAGGTATTAGCAGCCTGAAATTATTAACTGTGAGGAGGCCAATGTAGCTGGAGTACAGTAGTACTAAAATTGGGGATAAGAGCATATATACCATAGGTCATAGACCAAGGTCATTGACAGGACATTCCTGAGTTAGACAGGAAGCCATTACAGGAGTTGAACAGAAGGTAGTGTTATCTAAGTTATTGTCACTATGTTAATAGGATGTCAAGAGGACAAGAATGAGAAGAGGGAAAGTTGGCCGGAAGTTCCCACTGTCATTCAGGCAGGAGAAAACAGTGGCCTGTTCAAGGGTGGTGGCTTTGTACCTTGATGGGAGCAACTGTGGTTGAGCCTGGCCATAATTTCCAGGTTCAGAGGGAAGCATGTTCTGATAACTCAGATGTGATGTGCGACATGAGTGAAGGAAAGGAGAAAGAGGCCCTAGGAGTTTTGGCTGAGGCAACTGGAAAAATGGAGTTACCACTTTCTGAGATGAGGAAGACTGTGAGGAACAAATTCGGAGACAATATCAGGAGCTTGGTTTTGGAGTATTGGATGCTTTTCAGACATTCTGTTTCACAACAACACAAGAAACGCCAAGATGGTGTTGAGAGAACATCAGAGGCATCGGCATGTAGGGGACGTTAGATGTCACGAGTCTAGGGTGAGAACGTCCCAGGATTGAGGGCAGATGGTCAAGAGGCTCAAGGACTGGATCTTGGGGCTCTCCAGGCTTAGGGGTTGAAAAGATGAGGAGAAAGCAATGGGGAGACTGGAAACTCAGGCGCAGAGAACATATTTGGTTGAGCCTTGGAAGTGGAGCTGGGCTGGGAGCCTGGGTCTTCACCGGCAGGACTGAGAGCTCTTTGCCTTGGCCCAGGGCACCTTTCTCCTCACATTTCTTGGATTGGAATCCTGCTGATGTTCCTTGTGTGGGACATGTTGTTTTCAACAAGTCTGAGCAGGACATGGATTTTTGTCTTTTTTTTTTTTTTAAGTGTTTGAAGTATTTCATAATTTAAATATGCACTAAAATAAAAAGACATGGTGGGAGGCCCAGGCTGCCAACACGGATTTGTGAAGTGGAAACACAAACTCCAACCAAAGGGAGGTGTTGTCAGAGTTGTTTAGAGGAAGGATTCTGTCGTCTTGGATCCCATTGGCAGGCCTTGGTCGCTGTGGGCATTGATGATCACGGATTAAATAAACCACATGGCCCCAGGAGAAAAGACAAGATGGAGTAATGTCACAGGACAGTTAGCCCGAGGGAAGATGAGAGTTTTCACTTTTAAAGTATGTCAGCATCTTCAGAGCTGTTGGGTCTAGATTGCATGTACACTGTACCTTAAGATCCCTCGAGTTTTCTCTGGTTGGTGCTGGCCGGTTGTCATGGATCAGGGTTTTATAACCTCTATAGCAGTCAGCTTCACATTAATACAACAAAATACCTGACACAAGCTACTTAGGAAGTAAAGAGAGGTTTATGCTGGCTCACTGTTCTGGAGGTTCAAGGGCATGGTGCCTGCATTGATCCAGTTCCAGTAAGGGCAGTGGATGGCAGTGGTGAGGAACAGGTACTAGATTTAGCTCTGTATCTTGAGCCAAGAAACAAAGACATAGAAAGGATAGGGAACCTCCTTCCTTTTGAGGGAAGTCCCCAGTGATCGAAGGACCTCCTATTTGGCCCGCCTTCCTGGAGAAACGACCTCCCAATAGTGCTACCCTTGGGACCACACCCTTAACATGTGGTCTTATAGGGGACACTACCCACATTCATACCACAGCAACATCTTACTTTGCAGAGTCCCTACAGAGGCTAGCAGATGTTGGTGGGAGAGACACTTCCTGCCCATGTTGATTGGTTCAGCATGCATGCCCTGGGCACCACCCAGGCTTGACACACCTTCCCTTTGTCTGTAACACTGCTTTGTCTTAATACCCATGCCTCAGCAGGGACTCCCTTGAAGCCTTTGTGATCTGCCTTGATGTTGCAATTGTCCTGGCTCTTTCTCCCTGTGATCAGAAGCTCAATGCTGGGAATTGAGCCTGTGTTTTTGCATCCAAGTAACATTTTCTTGATCTTTTTTGAAAAAAAAAAAAAAAGCAAAACAGGCCAATGCATACCAGATGTAGGGAAGCATTGCAAAGGCCCTATTTGTCTCCTACTTTCAGGTTCAGAGAGCCCCATCTTCCTTTTTAAAGGCAAGCACTGATGCCAGTAGATCACAGAAAGATCAGGGATCTGGAAAACCATGATTTCTTTGGGGGTTGGTCTCTTCCCTGTTTCCCCTCTCTTCCACAAATTCACTCTCAAGGATTAACAGAGGTGGAGAATCCATAAAAGATTCTTTAGGTTTAGTCCTAGGTTCTCAGAGCCTCCAGGGCAGGCTCCTCTCCCTGCTTGGCATGGACCTGCCCTTGTTTAGGATCATTTTGTCTGTTGCCAGATCTTCTGCAGCCGTCTGGAGTCTCCCTGAGTTCACTTTCCATATTAATACCTCATTTGAAAGGTAAAGTGATCACATCTCTATTTGGTTCCAGAACCTTCAGTGTCTCCCCATTCCCCAAACCAAGCTGAGCATCCAGGGCCTTTCTTGACACCACACTTACAGATCTCCCCAGAAGGCATCACATTCTTTCCCCCAACCTGTCTTTCTCTCCAGGGTTCCATGTCACTCAGTTTCCCTCGTATATCCATAGTCCTTTCATATCCCTGTTTTCTTGTATGCTATTCCCCAGTTCCTGGAATGCATTCTCCCTTCTTTAGTTTATTACTGAAAAGTAAAATAACCCTGCTCTTTACAGAAATGTCTTAGCAGTGGTGTTGCTACTGAGAGTCACAAAACAGTTTAGGATCATGGGCCAGAACATCGGAAAACCTAGCCCATCTCTGTCTCTTGCCAGATGAGTTATGTCAGTCAAAGACCCCAAGCCTGGGAACTAGAGAGTCTCGCCTTTCTTCAGAGGACACTTTCTGGTAGGATACACTGGAACAATGACTTTCAAACAAGATGCAGATCAGAATCACCCTGGGATCCTTAAAAAAACCCCGAGGCTCAGGTCTTACATCAGAACCCTTATACCTCAAGCTCTATAAGGAGGGACCTAGTTATGGGTCCTTTTTTAAACTCCCCAGGGGATTTCTGAGGGTGGCCTTGTCTGAATACTGGCGAAGGAGTTCAGGCCTTGGACTCCGGAGTTCATCAGAAACCAGTTTTGAATTTGGTTTCCTTTGTCTCCTAGTTCAGAGATCTTGGGTGATGTTTTTTGTAAAGACATTTTCATACTTAGGAGAGTTTTAGATTTACAAAAAGTAGTGAGAATGCTATAGAAAATTCCATTCCCCCTGCACCAGTTTTATCTATTATTATCATCTTACATTTGTCGGGTAGATAGGTCAGAAGGAACCCGTTTTGATGTATCACTGCTATATTTCTCCTCTGTAGAGTTTCTGCTTTCCTCCTGTCCATCCTGGACTCTTTGGAAGGAAGTCACTATGTGCTGCCGGCACTTAAGGGAGGCACACTTCTGCTCCGTGTCCTCAAGGGCATTTACGTGGATTCTATGCCATTCTTCTCCGTGGGAAACTTGTCTATTCTTACAATTTATGGGTTTGTATTTGTATTTATATTTTGGGTTATTATACGACACTATTTCATCTGTTTTGTTGCTTGAATTGTTTCAGCTTTGGCTGTTCAGGCTCTTTCCACGGGCTCCTGGGTCCGTTTGACATATCCTGCCACTGAGGAGCTCTTTGAGCACTTTTTAATGATGCTCCGTGTTCATCTTGAATATTTCTTGCCCCTGTTCTAGAGTCAAGCATTTCTTTAAGGGGCCATTGTTATAATTGGAGAATGGCATTAGAAACCAAGACGAGAGCACTACGTGTGCTCATTGCTTCTAGGAAGTCATTGCTCTTCGGTTGGTCCACATTTTTTAACTGTGCTTCAGTTTGCCCAGCTGTAAAATGGGGATAATAATAGCTCTTTCATCAGAGGTTGTTTTCAGGGTTAAATTATAGAATGGGTGTAAGAGCTTAGTGCAGTTGTGACAAGCTCAAAAAATGTTAGTGATTATTATTTCCTATAGAATATGTTTATGTTTTAGCTAAGTTTATAGTGTCTCAGAAATTACTTTTTCCTATCTGTGAATTTATTTGACTGAAAACTCTCAGGGGAGATTTTTCTGCAAGTTTTATAGATGGAAAAATGAGATGGATAAGGGAGTCAACCTAAGTCTCTTGATTTAAATAGCCATTCTAGACCAAGATTGTCTGCACCTATGCCATATGAGTGATCTAGATTTCCCTCCCTGACTCTTGCCTGCCTCTTATTTGAAGAGTTATCTCTTTCTCAGTGCTGGTATTTCTTTGCTTCATGCTCTCTGTGAATGAGATTAGCTCATGGCAGAAGGAAAGAATATACTCCAACCCAGAGCAGGTCAATCTAGACACAGTGCCCCAGTGCCACAAAAAAAAATTTCTGAATCAAACATGACCTGAAAAGCTCCCCCCAAAAAAATAGAGTCTGGGTGGCATTCAAAAAATAGAATTTGGGTGCTGAAACATTTGCATTATATGATATTTTGAAATTCACAGGAATAGTAAAACAAGGTACCCGAAAAACCTAGAATATGCTTTAGTGTTTATGACATGACTTTCCCATCAGAGTCTCTCTTTTTCTCTCTCACTGTTTTCATGGAACAATGATTCTAGTCAAATAGAGTACAATTTTGAAACATGGAAACAACTCACTAGAATCATCAGTGCATGAAAAAACATACAAGCCAAACAGAGATTTTTTGACTCAATGCAGATGTTTATTGGAACAAATATGTATTTTCCCATAAGAACAGCAGCTTTTGTTGCTAATGAAATACACTAGTGTTAAAACAGCATTTAAGGTATGAAATTATAGCTTTAGTTATCCATACTACATTCTAGGGAGGTGGATTTTGGTTGCATAGAAGAGAGAACTTTTTTGTTTTGGTTTTGGTACCGGGGATTGAACCCAGGGGTGCTTTACCACTGAACTGCATCGTTTTTATCTTTTATTTTGAGACAGGTTCTTGTTAAGTTTCTTAAGGGCTTCGCTAAGTTGCCGAGACTAGCTTTGAACTTGTGATCCTCCTGCCTCAGCCTCCCAAGTCACTGAGATTACATCATGCACCCCTGTACCCCAAGAGAAACGTTTTTAAGAGCAGCATATTTTAAAGTTGGAATGGGCTGTATTTGGAGGTAGTGAGTTTGTCATCATTAGAAAGGTTCAGGAATGAGGTCATAGAGTTAAGATGGTCCTGACACCCCTATTCTCTGCTGCTGTGGCTCTGTGAGGTATTTGGGTTTGTTGGACCTTAGCAGTAGTGCAGGAGTTGCACATTTAATAGATTCTTATAGATCAAGGGGAAGCCAAGATTCCACTGCCCTTTTACATATTTTCTCTGAATAATAATGAAGTTGCACTTAGAATAAAGAGGATAAACTGGGTCAGAAATCAATATCTGTGCATAAATCCTCAGGCTAAGCCCTGTTTAATATTCTGACTCTAAGGATAAAGGCTCCTTTAGATATTGGTTCTCATCACAGACACTGGTCTCTAGGATGTGCCATTTCATGGGAGAAGCTTTGGTAACCTAGAGAAGCTTGAGTGAATATTTACTCCTGTTCTCTCACCATCTGGAAGGCTTCCCTCTGTCTTACCCATTGAGATGCCCACCCTCCTCAAGACCATCTCCTCCTGGAAGATTTTTCTGGCATTTCCTTCCCCAATACCTCCATACCAGAATGACTTTTCTTTGACCTCTGTGCCTCTCTCAAACTTAGCACTTTGTGGGGTACATTCCTGTACACTGCAGTCACTTATCTAGGCGTCACGTCTCTCAGTAGGAGCTCCTGGAAGGCGTGACTCATACTCTTCTCATCCCACTACCCGTGCAGCAGACAGCACAGCCTCAAGCCTGTGGAACTCCCAGGCAGTGCTGTGACATGGGAAGGTACAGTGTCTTGGGATGACTGTTGGGGTGATTTCAAAATTTGGTGTCACAATTCTTCTTTGGTGTTTTACACAGAACTCCAGCTTGTCTGATTAGCATCTGATGGTGCCCATGTTGTATGTCAGCATAACCTACCTTCCTTTTCCCCAGCACAGAGCATGTCCTTGGTTACTATCTTCTTCCGCTGAGCATAGTTCTCCTTGTCCTCTTCCCTTTGCAGAAGAAAAGGCAGGACACACAGAAGTCGAGGCAGGTTTTGCATGGCTGTCCCTGAGTGTTCAGCTGAGGGCTTAATGCCTACGAGTACTTGCTCACTTCCTCATTTAGCAAGAGACCCAGAATGACCACAGCAGCTGCTGTGCAGGTCAAGAGCTCAAATTTTCCATCAAGAGACATTCTGGCAGAACAGAAGACAGAGACTCGGGACTTCTGATCCCTGGAGAGTTTGTATCTTGGAGCTCTGGAGTTGAGGAGTTCTCTATAAGCTCCCTGAGCAAGGAGGAAGTGGTTCTTGGATGAGGGAGGATTACTGCTTGAGAACATTCATGACCTTGCAAGGCAAGGGAGCTCAGGGTGCGGCACAGGGGTGAGGAATCAGGGGAACGGCTGCGTGGGGCCATCTGTGGACATAGAGAGCTCAGGGGCCTGAGGTCTAGCTTGCCAGTGCCTACCCGCAGCAGCCTGGGACTAGGGAAGGCAAGGAGCCCAGGGTCCAGAACAGCTGCTTTTCTTAGGAATATGGAAAGATCTTTTGGCTGCACTTTGCCTGGTTTATGTCTTTGGGAAACAGGGTGTGGTGGGCAGTGGTGGAGATGGCAGGAGCAGCAGCAGCATTTTGTCTCCATCTAAGCTCTTTGAAGTTAATGAAATTTTGGCCTTTGGGTTACTTTGGCTTTAACTCATCTCATCAGGGAAAATAGGACTTCATTGGATCCTGGATTGTCAGAGCTGTAAGGGCCCTTTGAGATGAGGGGAAAGGACTTGCATAGGATCACAGGATGAGCTGGGAGGGGGACAAAACTGGTTCTAGCATCAGATATCTGACTTCCCAGAACCCCATCCCTAGTCTGTCTCCTGGAAGTTGCTTCTCTGTTACTGTCACAACTTGGTACCTAGCTCAAGGGCATAACCACCTTGCTGTGGGGCATGCCACAGGACTAAGACCCTTGTCTATTTTACCTCTTAATGGGGGAGGGTTGGGTGGGGAGAGTTGTATGTGGCAAAGAAGCATATAGAGGGCAAATGGAGGAGATGGTCAATGGGGGAGGACAGGTGTGTCACTAATCAGGCCTAAGACCCAGCAAAACCCAGGGGTTTTGCAAGGGGACTTCATTTGCCTAGAGTTGATCTAAGTCACATCTATGGGACACTTAGTTTAGGCTATGCACTGGTTAAGTACTATGTATATGTTAATTAATTTGATCATCATCAGACTTTTATGAGGTAGGTAAGGTGTGTCACTTGCAATGTTATGGATGAAGAAACAGAGTCAGAGGACAAATCAGCTGTCTGGCATCCTGACGCTTATAAGTGACGGGACCTGGATTTGGCCTTGAGTTCTGCCCACTCTACTACTTTGCCTCTTAAAGAGAGGGGGAAGGAGACAGCATGCTCCCGCGCTTGCTCTTTGACAGGTGGGCTGAATGAAGGGGAGAAGGCTGAGGGGCCAGGGAGAAGTGACTGCCAGCATGAGATAATTATCTTCAGCCGCTGACTGACCGCCGAAGGCAGTGCTGACTGAAAGCTGAACTCAATTTCTCACCCCGGTGACCCTCTGGATCCAGCCCTTGTTGTGGTAGATGTCCGAATACACTCCATAGAGATCCTTCTTTCCACAGCCCTCACCCCAGGACACTGTGCCCACCAGGTACCATTGGCCTCTCTTCATATCCAGAGTCACCATGGGGCCTCCAGAGTCTCCCGCACAGGCATCCTTCCCCCCTAGATGTAAAGGAGATGCAGATTAAAATTAGGGTGCCCCTTCCCAGCCCAAATCCAGAGGAAGCATCCTTCTCTCCAAGCCTGACTTGTAGTTTAGAGAATTTGGCACTAGAGGGCGCAGCAGACCGTGTGACCCAAACCTGAGCTCTGAGTCGTTTCCCTCAGGCCTCAGAGCTCAAAATGATTTTAGAAAGTGCTGGTTCAAGAAAGGAGTGATGGAAATCCTTAGCATGTTTCTCTCGGATGCAATGGAAGCTCTCCCCACAGGTTGGGAGGGCTCTGGCCTTTCACTGCTGGGCGCTGGTGCCCATGTTGTATGTCCGCATAACCTACCTTCCTTCTCCCCAGCACAGAGCATGTCCTTGGTTATGATCTTCTTCCGCCGAGCATAGTTCTCCTGGCAGGTATGGTGGTTAACAATGGGGATTTCAATCTGGAACACAAGGCTATTGTTGGTTCCCACTCCTTGCCATTCTGACACCCCTGGAGCATCTAGATCCACCTTAGATTTGGTGCCGGTGAAGAAACAATTGAATGGAGAACCCAGGGCTCATGTTCTGGTCCCATCTCAGTTGCTATATGTGACCTTGGACAAGTAACTTGGCCTCCCTGGAATTCAGTTCTTATATCTATAAAATGGAGATACTACTATTTGCCTAGCATATGCATTAGTTCAAATATGACATTATATACAAGAACCATGGTCTGTTTCTTTCCCTTGCTCTTACCGTGGGATGAGGCTTATGAGTTAATCAGTGGTTTTCAGACTTCCAAGGCTATTTCCTCATCCAAAATGTGGGAGCCATCGTGTTTGACATACTAATCATGTGGAGTTATTTGCAGAGGAAAGGAATGAACAAGAGCTTTGAAAAGTACAAAAGCTATAACTATTAGTACTTTAGGGGTCATCCTGGCTTGCTTTACAGCAAACATTCACTTGTGTTTCTCTCCCTCACTACAGGATGTGCTCTGGACACTGAGTCTGTATGTTGTCCATTTCTATGTTACATAACTGGGAAAAGAGTAAATAATCAATATTTTTTAAAAATTAAGGTGTGAATGGATACATAAAAACAAGATATTGTGATCATCATCATTTTGGATTCAGCATGGGGTAAATGTTGGACTAACTATCTGAAATAAAAAGGGGAAACATGAATCTCATTCAACCTGGCCAAGAATTGAATGGACCAGATGCTCCAACATACACTTTCTGTTGGTCCTTGTTAAGAGGGAACCAGAGGCCATTCAGATTCTTTTTGGGCCAGGGCCTTGCCTAGATAAGTGGGAAGAGGAAGCCACATTGTGAGACATGTCTGCACTAAACTGTTGAGTACCCAATTAACTTCCTCTGATCATTCAGTATATCACCTAAGTGTCATGTCCTGGGGAAGTCTTCCTCAACCCCCAAGATAAGATCTGATTCCCCCACATTCCAGAGTGCCCTGAACTTATCCATCGTCACCTTTATCACACCCATAAGTACTTTCTGAGGCACCTACTTGATTATAAGCCCAAAGAGGCTGGGAACCAGATCTGTCCTTTTACCTGCCCTCCACCCCAGCACACTTAACAGCTACTATAGAGGAGACACTAAATAAACAACTGGGAGTTCATGAATGAAGGGATGAAGGGATGTTGCAGATGTACAATTTCAAAGTGTGTTAAAATAATGTATATTGAAGGATTTAGAAGCTAGCTGTGTCACAGAATTAGTGATGTTAGAGCCAGGCATTTCTTAGAGGTCATCTAGTGTTGCCCTTGAACTTGGCAGTTGGAGATGGTAGGCTATGACCTAAAGAGGCAAAATGACTTTTTCAGATAATCTAATAAATGAAGAAGCCAGGATGTGGAGCCAGGGCTTTGCTCTTTATGTCTAGTTTGGAGTTCTTTTCTAAAATGACAGGAATGTGACCTTCTGAATGCAATGGTGAGTTTATGTTTGCAAGGACTGGGGTTCACAAGAGCCTGTCCCGTTCTTGGCTATGTAGTTCTTTGTGGTGTCCAAACCTGTTGTTTTCTTGGAGAATTTCTATAATCTAGGGCTCTAATAACTACCAAGGACATTGAACAGCGTTTGGAGGCTAGAGTCCACCATCGGCAGAATAAACAAGTCAAGGTTTCTGGGCTCCAAAGTCCCACTGAACTTTGGAGGGAAGACTGGGTTTCTGGCCTCTCTTTCACCAGCCTGCCCAAGCCTCCAATTCCTGAGAAAGCAATGTGAAGCGTGAAGGCCAGCAAGGGCCAAGGTGTCACTGTTTGTAGGATATAGATTGAACTTCACCTCCATCAGGGTGTCTGGGAACCTCTGCAAGAACTGCTTCCCCCAGCCGCTGACGATGACCACGGTTCCTGGAGGAGAGGAGACACTGTAAGGACACAGGGGCTGTCTGTGAGGTGTTCAGAATGCTGCATCTTGTAGTTCTGTCACCCTCTGCCTGTAGAGGAAGGGCTGAGTTTGCTACTTCAGAGAAAGGCAGCAAGATGGAGAGGAAGATGGGAAAGGCTGCTGAGTTGGAGGTGATCTGTGACAGAACAGGGGACACTTGTTTCTATGATATGTCACCTGATTTATTTGTCTATTTTCTTCTTCCCGCAACTAGCATGGAACATAGGCTCTACAAGAGCAGTAATCTCATTCATCTTGTCCCCTGGCCTCTAAGAATGTCAGCATGTAGTAGATGCTCAAGAAATTATTATAAATAAATAAAAAGCCCAGCCTAGCCAACAATAGGCTATGCTACCTTTAGGAAGACTTACGTGTTCTTCTCTCCTTCTAAGCCTCAGTCTCCTTATCCATAAAATGATGAAGCTAGACTTGGCATTCTCTAAATATTTTCTAGCTCTGAAGCTATGAAGTTGGCAAATCTGGGGACAATGTGAAAATGGATTGAATGCTAACAGAGCAACTGTAATCTTACTTGAGAAAGAGCCTGGATAATGAAAATAGCACTGGGCTTAAAGTCAGAAAACCTGGACACTAGCTTCAGATCTGCTTTTTATAGACTGTATGTTGGATGAATTACTTTACTTTGCCGAGCCTCCATTTTCTAATCTATAATATGGGGCTATCATACCAGCGTGCAAGGCTTTCATGAGTAGTAAGTGAAGAGATACAAACCAGCTGGCATGTGGTGAGTACACAGCACCCAAATAGTTAAAGTCAGCGGACTCTGTGTCTTTTCTGTCAGCTCACTTCCCATAAGTACTTCTCAGATTCTATCTTAGCAAAATTTTTAGCAGCTTTGAGCTAAAGGAGTGAAAAGGAGTGAATTATGATATGGTACCACTGAATTTAGAATGAAAAGGAAGTCAACCGGCATGAGCTGGTCTCTTATTCTATGTTGGATTTATATTATCTCACTTATATTACCTATTTAAATATCACAATCACCCCAAGGGGTATTGTCTCCAGTTTAGAAGTAAGTGGACGGGGTTTAATGAGACCAAGTACTTTCCTTTGATCACCTAACTGGGAATGCAAGCAATGGGATTTGACTCTGTGCTGGCTATTAAGCTATTGTGCCTTGGCTTCAGCCTTACCTGTCTATGCTCTGCTTTGTGGTACTAGGAGTGAGACTCTGAAATGGCAGTTCTGCTTGTCTGGCTGGCGTCCTGAACATAGGAGGCATTTTCAGGGAGATTGGAGGATTTCCTTAATGGCTTCTCACTCTACTGGTGGCAATTGGTTTCAACTATTTTCCTTAACACATCAGCCTCTTCTGTGGAAGTCTAAGTTCTAGCTCCAAAGGGCCCCTTTCCAAGCCTCTTGGTTCTATAATTCCAGCCTCTTCCTTTTGTTCCCCAAGACCTAGAGGTAGAGGTTTCTTCCTGTTGATAGTCAGCTTTTCCCTTTTACTTATTTATTCTGCTAATACCCTATCATAAATTCTCTCTGTAGCCATCACTAGTCTGGATTTTGTTTTCCTGTCTGGATCAGTGGGCCTGCCTGTTCACTATGTGCCTACCACTACCTCCAAACTAGTTCTGACTTTGCAGCTTTAGGGCAGGCATCCAGGGGATTATGTAGCCACCATTGGCTGACTCAATTGGCACCAGAGCCTCCTCAAGACTGGAGAACTCCCTGCTCAGATCCCAGCTGCGCTGCGGAGGTGGGATCGGGGTTTGGGGAAGGTACCTTCCTTCGGGGGCTCCTCAGGCAGACATATGGGCATCACGAAGTCATTCAGTATTGGGCTTTCCAGCAGCTCCACCAGAGCCACATCGTTCTCAAAAGTGTGGGGTTGATACAGCGGATGGAGGATGAAATGTTTGACACCGAGATGCTGTTCGTTTTCATCAGACCGGAGCCTCCAGTGCTTGCCTGTGCAAGAGGAAGACATGCGAGGCATGAGGATAATGGAGGATAAGGTCCCACCTTGTCACGTCTGGTGCCATCCAGGGCCTGCTTCCAGACTTAACCTTTTCCTTGCCCTTCACCCACCCATTGCCTTAGTGAACTTTTCTTATGCCTCTTGCCACAGTCCAATATCCTCTCCTCCCAGTGCCTCGGTCACACGTTGCCTCCTCCATGAAGCCTCTCAGACACTTCAGTTAGAAATCTTTCCCTTATGAACTCCCGTGGCCCTTCACCTGTCCCTCTACTACCAAATGAGCTGCTTCCTACCTTGGGTCAGATGGCCCTGCATTTGTATCTTGTTCCTCTGTTATACGGTAGCTCCTTGTGGGCAGGAGCTAGGTATTCATGACAATGTGTCATTCAATCCTGGCAGAGTGTATACCTGAATTGAATCAGCTATTGATCTTATACAGGAAAGCCTTGAAAAATGGCAAGAGCAGAACCCTGTTCCAAGAACCACTTCTCATTTGCACCTCACTCACCCATAATGATCATAAAGTCAGAAGGGCTCAGCAAGTATGAGTCATCCAGGGTCAAGTCGTCTGAATCGAGGTATTGGTGGAGGCAGTGAGCAGCAGTCACAATCCAGTTGGAGCCTGGAGAACAGAACACACAAACACCATGTCCTTCACCACCCTGTCCTGCCTCCCAGTGTCTTGAGTTAAGGGACTTGAGACTGTTCCAGGGCACCCCTTCAGACCTTACAAAGGCCAAACCCCTCTTTGTTGCATCTCTCGGTCTCAGACACTTACTTGATACTAAGTGGAAGATGAGGTGTAAAACTTGATTTCAACGGCCTGTCTCAAATCACACCAGGACTGAATGTTTTAAAGAGAGTTTCAGGGTTCCCTGAAACCTATGATGGGGGTGAAAAACAGCCGAAGGTGGGCCCACAACAACTTGTGCTCACTGGCTACCTCTCTGGCCTTACTTCTCAAAGTGTGGTCCCTGGACCAGCAGCATCAGCCTCACCTGGAAACTCCTTTGAAATGAAAACCAAATCAAAGCCTGCACTTGAGCATGATCCCCAAATAATTCATGGGCTCATTACAGTTTGAGTAGAATGATCAGTAGCTAGCAGCCAAGTATATGTCTTATGTCTTGGCTATCTTCTTCTCCTGGGCAGATATATTCCTCAACTTTGTTTAATATAGGGCCAGGCTATCCTTTAGGTGGGACAGATGACAAGTACATAAGTAGCTGAACTCTGAGGTATATCCTGGATGAGCCAAGAAAAAAAAAAGGCTCTGAGTCTTAGGGGGTAAGAGTCAGGGATATTAGGTTAGGGTTCAAAGTCAAGGGAGAGGTGCTTTTCTGGAGCAAATCCCAAACTCCTCTGGCCCTCTCAGAAGTAGCTGTGTGCTCTGGCCCCTGGCTCTACATAGACCATCACAAGGCTACCCTCTTTCACCTCTAATTGATCTTGACCCCACCCATGGTCAGGAGCTGTTGGGTTGACTTTGCAGGTAGGTAAGGTTGGCTAAAATACCCAGTTTAGGGGAGCCTGCCTCAGAAAGGGGATCTGGGCTATTTAGATGAGCCCAGCACTGTGCACTGGCCCGTCTGCATGGCCTCACCCTCCAGCTCTGTCAATCCCTCTGCCCAGCCTCCCTGTGGGCATCAAGACTGTGCTTTGCCACTTCCTTCATCCCTTAGCTCCCTCTGGGCTCTCCCGCCCTCTTCTACCTCTCCTTCACTCCATAAGACCTAGGCACAGAGGAAAGAGATTCTAGTTTGTGAGAGCTCTGGGAGGGTGAGGTGTGAGGGAGCTCTTGGCTTGGGTGAGGGTAGAGAAGTGAACTTCAAACAACTCTCAAACACGAGCTGTAGGGAATAAGGCAGGAACGTTGTTGATTTTAAAACTCAAGGTTTAAAACAATGAATTTAAGTCTTAAAACAGTGGGCACCTCCATCCATCTCTTTCACTTGCCTGACAAGCCACCTGGCCTGGCTTCAGCTCGCCTGTCACTCTTCCTCACCACCTCTCCTCTCTTCTGTCTCTGCACGTGAGGGTCCACCCTTCCTATCTTCTTCCATGATTTCTCCTCTTCCTCAGATATCGCACATCTTACCAGTCTGTCTTCTTGTTGTATCGTGCCTTTTAATTTCTCTTTTCACCCCTCAGTCTCCTTTCTCTTATTTCCTAGGTCTCTCTTATTGGTCTCTTTCTGTCTCTTAGTCCTTTCTGCTGCTGACCGGCTCCCTCTGTTTATCTCCCTTTCTTCATCTTTCTTGGTCTTCTCCCCAGCCCTGCTCCCCACTGGATGGCCCTCAGCCACAGCTGGCTTTATTTCTTCCTTTCTTTGACACCTTTGCTCATTCTTCCTGTCCCATTGAGGCTCCACTGAGTGGGATCCTTCATCTTTGCTCTCATGGGAATTAGAGTGGGGACTTCACATATCCCATTTGCCAATTCACCCATTCCTGGAGGTAAGAACATGAATGAACTTGAAATACTTGAAATCATCTACATCCAGGCAAAAATGCAGCAGGGAGAGCCATCAGCTGTTCCTTCCCCACCTTGCCCCCACTCCCACCCACATTTAACTCTTTACAAAGCTGTCAATCTTCTCTTCCAATGCTTTTTAACCAGCCCCCCTCATTTCCATCCCTTGTGCCCTTACTTCTTACTTTGAGGCTTATAACTTCTCTCCCCACTATTGCAAATAGTTACCACACTGAATTTCTTGCTTTTAGATTCCCTCCTTTTGGTCTAGATTGCCCCTAGACAGAACTTTCCAGAACATGCTTATGAATTTGCAGTAGTGCCCAGGATCTGATGTAAATCTCTAAATGTGGCATTCGAGGACTTTGCAAATCTACCTTCCCTGACTGTCTGAGGGTAAGTTTCCTGGTTCTTCCTAATCGTACAACCCTGTCACAGCCTCCCTTTGATCCAAGGTAATTGCCTTGTATTGTAATTTATGTTTGAGAGTCTGATTCCCTGATGTGGTCCTTCTTGAGGCCAGAGACTGATGAGGATTTAGGAGGTGTTTGGCATCTCAAAGAATTGGAACACATGTCTCCTGGTTCCAGTTAAGAGTTCCTTCTACCACAGTATACTGCTACAGACAGCGATTCTGAACAAAGAGACCTTGGTCTGCCTTCAGGAACAGGATCAGGTAGCCCTCACTCTGCCACCAGTCCTGAGTCCTTCACCCCTTCCACCTCCTCCTTACCTACAAGGGTGCCCCCACAGAAGGGCTGCCCATTTGGGTGAGACAGCATGGCAATCCAGGGAGCGGTGCCCTTCTGGGCTGGGCGTCCATTGAAGATCCTGGCCATCAGCGTCTGGGAGAACTTGGGAAGACCACACACTGCAGCCAAGGGAGGAAGGGACAGATCATACTCTGGGCTCCATCTTGCCCATTTCCAGGGTTACCAGTTTATCACCCTTTTAGGAACACCTGTTAGTTTTGATGAACCAACATCTGTGGCCCACTCTGATAATGGTACCATGAGTTTTCTTCAGGGTCCATTTTTTGGTCTATGTAGCCTAAGTTGGACTGACTTCACCTCTGGTTTCAGGGAAGAGAATTGTGACTGATCAAAACCCTGGATCTCTTGATCACAGCAATTGCTTAGAGATGGGATGTGACCTTGGCCAAGCCAATGAAAGCCTAGCTTGAAAATTTTGCTAAACATACTAGAAAAAGAGAAAGTCATTTTCTACAGGGGTTGCTTGGCTGTTGGCCATAAGCCCACACCTTCGGGTGATACTCTCATGAAGAGTTCGCTGAGTAATGCTATTCACCTGGAGGACAGCAGAACTGGAAGACTAGGGGAGAAGAGAGAGACTGTCTTCCGATTTTTTGAGCCCTTTGAACTAACTATATTGAGACCGTTTGGTAGAACCTCTTCATTATGGGAACCTATACACTCTTTCTTTTTCTTCTTATGCTGTTTATATTGCATTTCTGTCATTTAGAAATGAAAGTTCTGACTAATAAAGGAACTTCATGCTCTAACTGCAGAGGCCTATTCTCAGAGAAGCCCTACAAGAAGTGTCTGCCTGCTCCATCCCCTGTCTTCCACTAACCTGAATTCCCAAACATCCATGTACATCACAGCCTGACAAAAATCACAGATCAATATGCTGCAACCTTGACTGAATCTCCAGCATCTCCCAGTGTCATTCTCTGTGCCTAGGTTCAGCCACCTCAATGGAAGTCCTGTCCCCCTTCCTACCGGATGCTCAGGAGTCCATTGGGTGGGAGCTCCTCGGTTGTCCTCCTCCCCACATCCTCCTCCTGTCAACTTTTCTTCTCTTCATAACCAATCCTGTGCTCTGGATCTCCTCACTTAACTCTCAGGGACCTGGCCCAGCTCCTGTATTTTCCATCTCTGCTTCTCCTCTGCCTCTAAAACATGGTCAAGCATTTTCATCCTAAAAACCAACTTCCATTTCCCTGCTTCTCTCTCGTGCCACAGCCTCTTCTTTTCCCTTCCATAGTCAAGCTTCTGCACAGAGGGGTGGATGCTCAGTCTTCCCTCTCCTTTGGAGTTGGATTCAGAAGAAGGAAGTGCCCCATACTACACAGACTTAAATTTTATCTGATGTATTCTTCCTACTAGGCATTAATTCTCCTTGTCCTGTGATTCCCCAACCACTGAAGCTGGGATACCCATCACATTAGGGGAAGAATGGATAGGCTTTGGCTTTTGAAAGAGCAAAGCCTAAACCAATGTCTAAGAAAGAGACTTTTCATTTGCAGAGGTAGGGATTGTGGTAAGAATAAAAACAAAAACAAAAGCAAACAAACACACAAAAACGTGTAGGCTATAGGGAATCAAAACCTGGGGGACTGAGTGCATAATTTTTACTGTACGTAGAAGCTCTTCTTAGAGCCAGTGAAGAGTCTAGAGGAACGGAGGAGGGAAACACCCTGGGTGGAGGGACAATGAGAGAAAGACATAATGCAACTGGGGGTCCTGTTCTCTGTCCTCCCTGAGATGGCCACTGAGACTTGGGCCTGTGCTGGGGAACATCCACCCCAGGGCCTTCTCCTGGACCCTCAGCTGTAATGCATGCCCTTGAGCTCTTCACCCTTCTTGACGATTTCCTGTCCCTGGCTTCTGAATACTTTTCTTCTTGTTTTGTTTCCCCCCTCTTTCTTTTTTCTTTTCTCTTTTCTCCCTCCCTACTTTTTTTTTGGTCCTTTCTTTTGCTCTGTTTCTTTCTAGGGGCGTCTCTTCATGATCTCTCTGCTGGTATTTGCCTTGTTGAGCCCTTAGGCTCCTTTTTGTTTTCTGCACATTTCCAATAGATGAAAATCCACCCCTCTGCCATATTCTACCTAAATGCTAATGAATTTCATCTCAGTGTCTTTAAATCTGCCCTCTTTCTCTGGAACTCACTATTCTTTACTGCCTACTTAAACTCTTCAAAGTTAAAGATGCTAAGCCCTGTTCACCAGCTTTCATGAACTTTCTCCTCTTGTTAGCCAGACCTCTGTGAATGTCTGCAACAACCACATTTCTGTTGCCTCCCTTTTCTTCTACCCCCATATCAAGTCAGTCCCTAAGTTGGTGTTGAATCACTAGGAGAAGCAGCCCAATGCCTCGTCCCCATCCATGTCCCAATATTCTCCATAGAACCTCAGCATCTCGGTATGTCACAATATAAATTCCAAACATCTAGAAGAAAACAAGAATCTGAAATGTAATAGAACACCGGATATGATAGTCCTTGAAACCAGCAACATACGAAGCATGAAGTCTAATTTAGGATTCTTTTAGTTCTCAATAGTGTAAAAAGCATGACACAAAAATAAATGATACAAACCCCAAACAAAGGCAAGACGTGTGTGTCCCCTGGAGAGCCCTCACTCTCAGGTTGACTCATATCAACCCCTGCACCCTAAAGCTTGCACAATCTCAAGAGATGCCTAAGGCCAACCTTTACTGGGATTACAACCTAAATGGATTTAAACTTCTGACCTCATGTTTGCACTGCCACAGCTCCTTGGTTTGGTGGGTTCTCCCCATCTCTTGCCAGGATAGTCTCAGTAGTTTCCCAGCCACTCTCCCTAGCTCAGTCCCTTTCCCTCCACTTTCCACATCACACCACCTGCTCTCAGACCTGCCAAATTCTCAATTTTCAGTGGGTGAGACCCAGCAATCTACATTCATAACAAGCACCCCTACCCCATGATTCTGATTGATAGACTTCAAACTTAGAAAATCCCTTGTCACAGGACAGAGTGCAGAGTACAGCTTTTAGATTCTTTCAACTCCTTCGATGCACACTGCTTCCACTCCAAATGTGGCTCACTTTCCTGGGTTAATAACATTGCCGACTCTGCCTCTTCCTGCCCATCACCAAGTACATCTTTGAAGTTTCTGCAAAGCCATTCTGATCCCCTCTAGCTGTATGAAATCACATCTTCCTTTAATTAAGTTCCCATGATATTTAAATAGCAATTTCTCTTATATGTCCACCTCCTTTTGCCTGTTTAATACTTAGATAAACACAACTTTGTCTCCCGCGCTAGTGTGAGCTCTTTGAAGCCAAGGACTCAAATGACAGGCACTTAAATGGAGGAGCGTGCACCCTCTGAGAAGGGAACATATCAATAACAAAGTCCTCTCTTTGACACTTCTTCTTGGGTGATGCCCAGATGCCATAAGTGTTTTGTTTTGTTTTGTTTTTCCTGTAACAGGGGAAATTTTGGTTTAATGAGGGGGCCAATTTAAAAAATCAAAACAAATGGTCACACTTCAACAACATTAACAAAACTCCCAAACTAAGGCTATTGGTTATCCACAGAGGGTTTATTTCCACTTTGGACCCCTGACAGCTGAGACAGAGTGCAGAGGCCCCTTACAGAGTAGCAAAGCATGTGATATTAAATATACAAAATACAGCATTCTCTACATGCACCATTCATAGGTATAGGAGTGTGTTTTTATGAACTGACTAGGAAAGTGAACATTTCCCAATTGTTCTCTGGCTGCATTTGTCTGATGAAGATTCCCAGGGAAAAGAGCTCTGAGGGGGCACAATCAGCCTGTGACAGCCAGAGACAGGCTTCTGGCAATCAGAGAAGTGCTGAATGCAAGAGATGGAAAAACCCTAAGGGGCTCTTATGACTTCCCTTGCAGATAGGGGAACTGAGGCTCAACGGGAAAATGATTTGTCAAAGGATTTATAGCCAGTGCCAGTTGGAGACAGAGACAGGGCTAGAAACCAGCATTCATGGCTCTCCCCTCTTTTCACTGTCACCAATGAGTCTCTGCTTCCCTTGATCTCTGGTTCCCAGAAAGCACAGGACTGGATCTCTCTGAATATCCTGCTGGGTAATTCTCTGTTGAGCTAGGTCCCATGGCTATAGAGCAGGACATAGGTGAATCTTAGAGTCCTGAGTTCACCCTTTCTTCCATTTTCCTGTCCAGAAGCACAGTGGGATACAGTGTGCACCTTATCTTTTCCCCAGGTAACAGCCAAGTCTCCACATTTGCTCTCAGGGCTCAGGTAGTCTTTTCAGATGACTCATTTCAGGGATGAAAGGTTGCTTCTCACTTGTCTGGAGTGGTACATATTGACAGCCTGGGATGTCAGCCATTCAGGAGTGGCATGTGGGCCCAAGTGATGTTCTGAGCTGAAAGTAGGAATTCAAGGGGCTTGGGGACCCTCCTACTGCTATTGTCTTCCTCAGTCACAGGTTTTCTCTTTGTCCTTGACATTTCTTTAATAGGGAATATAAAGGATGAAGCTTGGACTGGAAGAAGGTTGAAGAGGAATCCTAGGAGCAAAAGTGCTCCAAGTTATTTTACTAGAGAGGAAGGCCCCCAGGTTTATGATCTCTATCCCCCAAACCTGAATGGTTTTCTCCTAGAGGAGGGAGTGGATTTGATATAGGCCCAGAGTGCAGAGCTGGGTCAAAATATGAATGCAGAGTTAAGTTCAATGCAAGGAATCATTTCCTAATAATCAAGCTCAAATATACCAACAGTGGGCCCAATAGGTTTGATATATAGTTAGGAGTGAATAAAGGCCATGGTATAAAGCTTGCCAGAGAGGAGTGCTAGATTGGCCTAGAGGTCTTCTGGTCCAGCTTTCCCATTGTATTGCTGGAAAGAGTGAAGGCCAGTGAGGGGAATGGAATTGACCATGGTCGTGGACCCTGGTCTCTTGCCTAGAACCTTTTCCTTATACAACACTGCTGCCTCTCAGGGTCCTGGGGTCCATCTTAGGAGGATGAGTGCCCCAGTAGGTCACTGTGTTCCATTCTATTTGGTCTGTTAAGTAACATGGAGTGTGCTGTTGGAGGTGTGTGGTGTAGTCTCACTTGAGCTGGGGCAGGGTAGACAGACC